ATTTGAGTGGGTCTCTGGACGGTTTAGTTTCACAATACACAAAAAGTTTCGTTAAAATCCGTACAACCATTTAGGAGGATTTCACTCACAAACACACCCGCAGAAGAATAAAAAAATTCATTCAAAGATAGCTAAAGGTCGGTAGGTTTGTAGGCCTCACACCCCTTTTCAAATAGCCCAAATTTTCTCCATGAGTATGGGCTTGATTTCAACTATATACATATGTCCATATACATTCCATTTTTTGGAATAGATCGGTCCCTGGTCCACTTCTCGGAAAAAATTTATCACATATGCTAATACATGCCAAAAAGCTATCTGCGCACCGAATTTTAAGCAAATCGGACAGTAAATTCGATTTTTTCGAATAGATCGGTCCCTGGACCATGGAGAAAATTTGGGCTATTTGAAAAGGGGGTGTGAGGCCTACAAACGTACCGACCTTTAGCTATCTTTGAATGTATTTTTTAGTTCTTCTGTAGGTGAGTTTGTTAGTGAAATCCTCCTAAATGGTTGTACGGATTTTAACGAAACTTTTTGTGTGTTTGAGTGGGTCTCTGGATGGTTTAGTTTCACAATTTAATCCGACAGTTGGCGCTGTAGTTGAGTTATTACTAAAAATCTTNCAATTCTGAATATGACTTTACTTCACTTCTGGATTGGAAGTAAAGCAGTGTTTGCATTATTCAACTTTGCGTTCAACAATTGCGTTCAACTCAACGCAGGGTTGCACGAAAAAAAAGTTGAATGGCTAAATGTTGGCTGGTGACCAACTTTGTTGAAAGCGATTAGTTGAAAGGCCATTCAACCAAACGTTGAATGCAAAGTTGAACAATGCAAACACCTTTTTATGGCGAATATTTTGATATTTTTAGCCATTCAACTTTTTTTTCGTGCAACCCTGCGCCGAGTTGAACGCAAATGTTGAACACAAAGTTGAACTATGCAAACACACTTTAAAGGCATATGAATTATTTCCAAAACAAAATGGAAACAAGACAATATGGCCTTATTGCATATGGTGTTATTGTACCCCACCTCAAACTCACGCATATTATGGAGGTCCGGTTTACGGAACTTTGTACTAGAGCAAAGCTAGGTCGGCGTAATTGCCGTTTATCTGCGAACACAGAAAGCCGATATCAAGGTTTTCAACACAGTCTTATTTATGTTATGGTATAACTTGAGGTTTCTCTGACCAGTGGTTGTGATCCAACGCTTTTCGAAAAGTGAGTGTGATTTTTACTAACTTCAGTCGTGTACGTAAGTCATTTTTTTAATTACAAAGCTGGATACTTTTTCACTCTATCTCGAACTAATTAAATCGATAGGTATTATAAATAATACTTACTATACTCCTCCAAAACGAAAACGCCACCTTTCTGTGTGAAACATTTTCTTATGTGGTCTAGGCGCACGAAAAACTGAAATGGGACAAACATTACCTTTCAGAAAGCTTGAATATGTTTTATCTAAAATAAATAATTACAAAACATTTCTTAATACTGTATGTAATTTTATATATGTATGTGTTTAATTTTTTTTTTAATTTTAATAAGTTGTATGTATATGTTTTTGTGTAATTGTGTATAAAATAATAGTTTTAGATGCGACATGCAGGATTTTGCTACATGTATGTAACTAAAATTAATGTTTTTTTTTTATAAAATAAACTATGGAAATCGATTAGAAATTATAACCCTTCCATATTGATACATATGTACTTATATTAAGTGTGATAGACCCAATATGGTTCAACAAAAAAACGGAGTTTTGCACAGAGCTTATTAATCAAAATTTTAACTCGCTGCAGATTCATTGTCAAAGCACAATTAGCAGTACAGCGGCTACACTAAGCTTCAGTAAGCATACATACATTTTCATATTTATACATACATACATAAATTGCAAATTCAGACACGATAGCTAAAGCAAAGGAAGTTGGAAGCAAAGTAAATAAAGAGGCAAAAGATTACATAGTTTGTCAACTGAAATACGAAACAAGAGACGAGGTGTGGTGAACGAAAGGTAATTTTGGCCACAGCTATTCGCACTTACGCAACCTTGTGCATTAGGTGTGGGCGGTGACCATACATGAAGCGTGACTATAACGTGCATTTGAAAATAATAAAGTTCATGGTCAAAGCGTTAATAATATGGACATTTTTCGCTAATTAACTGTAGCAAATTCAATAAATGAAAATATATAACCGATTTGAAAAATAAATGCTAGAGTTAAAATAACGAAAGGAAATTTTAACTAATGAGTTTGATCCCATTGCAAAAAGAAAATACAACAATACAAAAGTAAGGCAAGCGAGGGTTAAAAGAAACTTAGCCAAAATGTTTGTGACTTTATTAGGTTTCATTGTTGTTTTTGCATTTTTCTTTAGCCATAGTACAGGTTTAATTGAATTCTAATTAGCACTTGTGAGATGGTCTTAACTAAAAATACGTTCAATTTCTAATACTTATATAGCTATTGGCTAGGTTCTATTAATGTAAATATTTTGTTGGTTAACGCTAACAGCAAAAATAAAAAGTTAACGTAAATAACACTATTATCTTGTTAAACAATAAACATTGTAAAGACTATTAGTCGTTGATTAACTGTTATTATTATGATTATTGTTATGTAATTATATTGGTATCAAGTTAGTTATACTGGGATTATGTATGTAGGCGAGAAAAATAGTCAGCCGCAGAAAAGCATTGCATATCAGAGGGCGTCCAAAGTGATATTTACTTATTAGATTGGTATGAGTGTTATTACAAACCTACAACGCAGTGAATGTGTTAGTTGATCTACAAGTGAGCGGTGAAAGTGATAGATAAAGGGATATGAAAGCCGGAAGTCAAGCTTAATATTAATGCAGTGGATGCCATGTATTTAAATGCTTTCCTTCGTAATATGTTAAATCATTATAGAATTTGCTGTTAATATCAATTCCCTCCATAAATTTTTGCACGAAAAATAACTAATTAACTTAACATGCGATAAGAAGGCATTTTTTGAGTTTGACCAATACCAATTCGCAGTTTTATAATTTTTTCCAAAGTTAAGAATTTAATCAATAATTATAAAACTCGGTAATAATTTGTAATTAAATAATAATTAAAATAAGTTAAATTTCGATAAATATAGAGCAGAAAATACTAAGTTTTGGAACAGAAGAGAGAAATATTTGTTAAAGTGATAGAGCAATCATTTTCAGTGATGCAAACTATTTTCTATTTAATTTGACAATAATATTTTTTTAATTATAAAACTTAAGCATAAAACAAAGAAACAAAGTGAACTCTTGCTAACAACTTTTCAAACGTTTCAAATCAATTTCTTAATGTGAACTACAAACTACTGGCTTAAATAACTCTCTATGTAAACAAATTGAATACACAAGCATAAAACAAAAAGAAGAATAACAGCAATTGTGTTTGTAGTGATTTGATGTACAAACATTTAAGTTTCGCGATATTCCAAATTGACTTAGAATATTCAGGATCAAAATAAGTAGTAACTAATTTGTAAAACGTAACGTGCTCATTTAGTTCTACGATGAATATATATTTGTCATCACAAAATGGCAATCAATCAATTACTTAGTACTTATTGTATTATGCTAAAAGACTACCAGTTACACACGGTCGTTTAAAGATGCTTGTATGAGGGTGTTCTTTTTTTCAATGTGAAATTTTTGGACCCTAGTAGCATAACTACTCCAATTACTTTGTGATCACATGATCCAAACCAGCAATGAGTCTTCGTAAAGTGTTACAATCGATTCATAAAAATGAATCTACGGCGACTCTTCTAGTAAACGCATGGGTCAAAAAAGAACTTTTTCACGACTTTCTAAAAAAATTCTTATAACCTTAAATGGCAACTACCGATACCGCAATTTTCCTGTGGCAAAATTCTAATATCTGCTTAGGTTATCGGTAAAATTCAATTGTTTCACAGTGTCCTTTGAAGAAAATGTAAGATGATTTTTACATTTTAGTCGTAAGGTAATGTAAGGTGCCTAATAATAATTTGAGCGAGTTTTATAAATATGTAATTGTTAAAATGGAAACGAAAACCTCCAAGGCCAAGGAAAGTAAACCGTCCAACCGCGCAATTGCACTTAAATTTGGCCACGAATCGTGGGCGATCAACAACTTTTTGAAGAATATGGAAAACAATGGCAAATGCCGAAAAGGCCGCACTGCAAAAGCTACCTCGTTGAAGGAAAACGCGCAATTTTTCGGGAACCGTCGAATTCTGCGACGACTTCCAAATGTAAGTTTCAGTTAGTATCCAGACCATTCAATGTTTAATGAAGCAGTGCCCTCATCTACGATGAAATAAATTTCAAAAGAAACCACATTTGCTTCAACGCCACCGGCACGTTGTTCGGAGTACGCTCGTACCTACGTGCGCTAGCATGATGAATGGAAAACCGGTTATCCACTTTGGACGGTCCTGATGGTATTCAACCCTATTTTATCCCGACGGCAGTTCAATTCGTTCGGTGATGGTATGGGCAGCAATTTCCTATTATGACAACAAATTAAAGTATTGGAGCTGTTGGAGACCGAAGTAATTAGCTTTGAACCAAGAATCTTTTTTGGGCAGTACAACGCTACCATTCACCTAGCGAAAATCGTTAATCAATGGTTTAATGAACAAAATATCCAGATTCTCGTGACCAGTGTTGTTCCCAAACTTAAACATGATTCAGAATGTGTGGGGATGCCTAAATATGCTAAAGGGACGCATTACCACTTCAGACCAGCAATTATTGATGCAATCGAGACTGCATTCATTTCAATACTAAGTAATTAAATTCAATATTAAAAATAGGCTTGTTGAAATTATAATAATGGGGGTCCAATTAAATATTAATAACAAAAATTTGCAACACTTTGTGGTTTGCTCTTTATTATAGTTTTTGTACTAGGTGGCGGCCGCTGTGATGTAGTGGTAAGCAGTGCGCGCTTCCACTCCGCAGCGCCTGGGTTCAAGTCCTGGCCAAAGCAACATCACAAAAAAAAATGTAGAAAAAAGGTTTTTTCTTAACAGCGGTCGCCCCTCGGCAGGCAATGGCAAACCTCCGAGTGTATTTCTGCTATGAAACACAGCTTCTCATAAAAATACAATCGGCGTTCGGAGTCGGCGTAAAACTGTAGGTCCCTCCCCTTTGTGTGACAACATCAAGGCGCACACCACAAATCGGAGGAGAAGCTCGGCCAAACACTAACATATGTGTAAGCGACCATCTATTATTATTATTATTACTAGGTGAGGTCAACAAAGTGTCGCACTTGCGAGTTGAAAAACACCAGACAATAGGCGTCCGTTTTTTACCGTTGTTCATTTTTTTTAATACTAGCACTGAAAAAATGTTTACTGATAACACGGTTCAACAAAATTTGGTCGTATTTTATCTCAAAAACGAGGCTGACTTCATCTAATATTTTTTTGATGCTGATTTGAAGGGCATTTACAAAATTTTTCTAATACGTCCAGTTTTTAAAATAGCTTGCATTTGCTTTCATATAGATACGAAAATCTCAATCTATGAATTTATTTCAAAAACAAAGTGGTTTCATGAACAAATCAGCATTAAAAAATCAATAACTCAGATTGATCACTAGCCAGTCTTTTGTCTCTTAACACTTTCTGCGTTCTGGAATGAAATGCTCAATTTTTTTTCTTTTTTGTGGATCGCATTATGATCGCTTTTCAAGGTCCACCAATAGTCAGCAAGCATGTGTGCTTCTCTATAATGGCTATGTCCTGGTGGAATCGTTTGCCATGTTCCTCGCTAGTGTTTTTTTTTACAAAGTTTTTTTTTAATTTTTCACCTCCTTTTTTTCTTCGGGAACACTACTAAAAATGTTGTAAATGCACTTCAAATCAGCATCAAAAAAACTATAAGATGAGGTCAGCCTCGTTTTTGAGATAAAATACGACCAAAATTTTTTGAACCTTGTAATCGATGCCTTACTTCATACTCCTTTTTTTCGTAACCCATCTACAATGGGAAATATTTTCGAAAAGTGTGCACACCTATATTCAAATGTCTGCGAAAGGCTGAAGTTCTTCATGAGCCAACTGACTGGAACTTATCAGTCTGCCTTCAAGCAAGGCAAATTCACCATACACCAGATTTTCACATTCGGGAAATCCTAGAAAAGATGCTCTATAAGAAAACCGACGCACACCACCTTTTCGTCGATTTTAGAGCCGCTTTTTACAGAACGAAGAGTTGCTGCTCTATGTCTACATTTGGTATACATACTCGCAAAACCAATCGGCCTTGTCGAATGACGTTGAGAGCAACTTTAAACTCCGCCCAAATTAGAAGGAGCCGCTCGAATGAGGTTTTAAACAAGCCGCCTCACTTCCCTGCAAAATTCTACAATCTGATATTGGTAACAG